TCAATAGGGTCGTACGGCTATAGGCATATCCCAATATGTCAAATATGTCTTATAACAGATTTTTTAAATAAATTTGCACATAGAAACCAATTTACTGTTTAATATGACGTTATCAATTAGAATAGCTTACTTATGTACCACAAATAATAAAACCTTCATTTTTTTATATTTTTATAATGAAAAAAAGTCATACACAATACAATGAAATTAATCGATAACTCTAATCCGACATAAGTAGAACTTTTTGTACTTTTTTGTACCTTTTAATTTCGACTTTTTTATTTTCGTCCACTTAATGACAAGTGAAATTAGTATAAATATTTTATGGTATGGTTTAAAAACGCATTTTGGAAGATATTCATATCTACAATTTAAATGGAAACGGTAATTTCGTCATTAAATGTAAGAGGATTAGGAAATAAACAACTTTTTGAATGGTTAGACTCTCAACCATGTTCTATATATATGTTGCAAGAAAAACATTCTAATAATTATTATTCTGAAATCTGGAAAAAAGAATGGAAAGGTGAATCATATTTTAGTGGAAATAAAACAAATAAGGAAGGAGTAGCAATTCTTATAAAAAAAAGATAGTAACATAAAAATAGTAAATACAAATGAGTTAATCATTGGTAGATTAATATCAATTGACATAACTATAAACGAAAGAGAATTTACTTTATTAAATATATATGGTCCTAATGATGATAATATCAGTTTATTTGCAACATTAGAAACATTTCTTTTACAGAATAATGACAAAAGCATAATCGCCGGTGGCGATTTTAATACAGTAATAGATACAAAAGTAGATAAAAAAAATGGACGATATGATACTCATAAAAAATGTAGAGAAAATATAAAATCATTAATAGTCTCATGTAAATTAGTCGATATTTGGCGAATACACCATCCCGATAAAAGGCAATATACTTGGCGTTCAAATGGTAAACCATGCATATTCTGTCGACTAGACTACTTTCTTATATCAGAAAACCTCACTAATATAATTACAAAATCAATAATTACCCAGGGATATAAAACCGACCATTCATTAGTAAAACTTTTCATTGATAATAAAGTGATGGAAAAGGGACCAGGCTATTTTAAACTGAATAATTCAATATTGACAGATAAAGAATATCAGACTGTAGTGAAAAATACAATTAAAATGTTGGTAGAAATTAATAAAAACAGCAACCCTAACACATTATGGGAAATAATTAAAGGCGGAATACGTAATGAAACAATAAAGTATGCAAGCAATAAAAAGAAAAAAGAAAAAAACGAAGAACATAATCTAATTAACGACATTCAAAAACTCGAAAACAAACTATCAGTTCAAACAGATGATAGAGTCAATGAAGAACTTAAATCAAAAAAGTTGGACTTAGAAACCTTGTATGATAAAAAAATAAATGGTCAAATATTAAGGGCAAAAGCTATTCATATTGAACAAAATGAAAAAAACAGTAAATACTTCGCAAATCTCGAGAAAAAACATGCTGAAAAGAAAATTTTACATAAACTTATTAAAGAAACAAAAGAAATAACTGACAGAGATGAAATTCTTAGTAAAGAAAGACTATTCTATGAAGATTTGTACAAAATAAAATATTCTGAAGCTCCAGAAATAGATTTTTTAAATATATATATAAAAACTTTAACTGAAGAAGAAAAAGACAGTTGTGAAGGAGTTTTAAATTCACATGAAATAAATATAGCTTTAAAAGAAATGCAAAACGATAAAAGCCCAGGCTCTGATGGCTTGACAGTAGAGTTTTATAAAATGTTTTGGGACGACTTAAAAGAATATTTCATAAAATCAATTAATCATTCTTTTGTAATAGGTAACTTAACTACACTTCAAAGACAAGGAATTATATCACTTATACAAAACCAGACAAGGATCTCACAAATTTATCCAACTGGAGACCAATAAGTTTATTAAATGTTGACTATAAAATTGCCACAAAAACAATTTCTAACCGATTAAAAAATTTTTTACCTTCGATCATAAGTTTTAATCAATCTGGATTTATGAAAAACAGATACATTGGGGAAAACGTTAGACTTATTTTTGAAGTTATTGAACTATTAAAAGAAAGAAATAAACCAGGTTTGTTATTTTTTGCTGATTTTGAAAAGGCATTTGATAGTCTTAGCCACAATTTTATTATATCTGCATTGAGAAAATTTAATTTTGGAAATGATTTAATTCAGTGGGTGAAACTCTTTTACACGAATATTACTAGTATAATAATCAATAACGGCCATTTTTTCAGAAACTTTTAATATAGAGAGAGGTGTGAGACAAGGATGTCCATTATCATCGTCCTTATTTATTATATGTCTTGAAATATTGTCAAATTACATAGAAAATGATCGCGATATCAAGGGAATATATATTGAAGGAAAAGAAATTAAACAAACTTTTTTGCTGATGATGCATCTTTTATAAATGATGGTTCACAAATGTCTTTTGAACGGCTTGTCTATGTCTTAAAGAATTTTAGTCTTATATCAGGTCTTAATCTGAATACTAGAAAATCAACAATATTAAGAATTGGATCACTTCGTAATACAAATACAATTTATTGTAAAAAATACAATTTTAAATGGTCATCAGAATCAGCAAAAAAATTAGGAGTTACTTTTTCAACAGATAACACAAATATATTAAAAAATAATCTTGAACCAAAACTTGAGGATTTCTACAACTGCTTGAAACAATGGCAACATAGAAAATTAACTTTGATGGGTAAGGTAACTGTTATCAAGACATTTGCACTACCAAAAATAATATATCCTTTTGCGGTGTTAGAAAACCCGCCAGAATCAAAAATCAAGGAAATTGAAAATGCAATATTTCATTTCATTTGGGAAGGAAAACCAGACAAAATAAAACGAAATATTATAAAGCAAAATTTTGAGAATGGGGGACTTAAACTTACAGACATAATATATTTTTTAAAATCGTTAAAAGCAAGTTGGATCAAAAGATACTTAGATAAAGAAAATCATAGCTTATGGAAATTATTTGTTAAGAATAAATTATTAAAGTATGGAAATGAACTTATTTTTGAATGTAACATTTCAAAACAAGATGCTGATAATCTATTTCCACACAAAAGTTTTATAAATAATATGCTAAATGCATGGATTGAAATAAAAAGTACAGGCTTAACAAAAAATATCTCTTATAAAGACATTATTTGGAATAATTCGGATATAAAAATAGATGGTAAACTTGTATTTTATGAAAACTGGTTTATTAAAGGAATTTAATTCGTACAACACTTATATGATTACAGAACAGGAAAGTTTTATAATTTCGAAGAATTTAATATTTGTATGACATCAATAATACAGATTTCTTAAAGTATTATATGCTTATTGGAAATATATCTGACACTCTTATCAACAAGTTAAGAAATGCTGAAATTAACACTGTTTCCTCGCAACCTTTTATACAAAATGTTATACAATCCAAATCTGTGAATAAACTTTTATATGATTTGCAAATGAAAAACGGAAAATGTCAAGGGAAAAAAAGTAATGAAACTAAATGGGAAGAAAATATACAAAAGCATATTGACTGGAAAAAGATATATCAACTGCCTTATAAGAGCACATTAGATGTCACATTAAGATATTTCCAGTATAAATTCCTCCATAGAATTATACCGACTAATACTTTTCTCTTCAAATGCAAACTGTCTGACACAAATTTGTGCGATTTTTGTCATAATAGCATTGAAAATATTGACCACCTCTTCTGGGAATGTACGAAAATACAAAATATTTTGTCAATGCTACACACGTGGCTAAATTCAATTGGAATTATGTTTAATCTTTCTAAAGAAATATTATTCTTTGGAGAACTTAAAATTAATCTGCATAGTAACATAATTAATTTCATTCTCATTCTAATGAAATATTACATTTTTAAAACAAAATATCAAAAATATACACCAAGTTTTGAAATATTTAGAAAAATGTTATACAGTAGAATACAAATAGAAGAACAAATTGCTTTATCTAAAGATAAATTGGAAGCGCATAAGACAAAATGGAATATCCTCTGTAATATAAGAATTGTGGATAGAATCAATTTTAAAACAATGCAAAACCATATCTATAAAGAAAACTAATAAAATTTGTATAAATCGCTATATAAAAAGGGACAATTTTTTTTGTGCATGAGAGAGCGTGTGTGAGTGCCTGTGTATGTATGTGTATATGCGTGTGTGCGTGTGTGCATATGTGTGAGTATGTGTATGTGTATTTGTATTTGTGTATGTATCTGTGTGAGATTGTTTTGTGTGTATGTTTTACATTACTGTTAGAATTGAATAATTATTGTAATGGAATATATTATGTTGAATACATGTAACAACAGTATGTTAACTGGAATGTTTTTGTAATTCATATATGAAAGAACATAATAAATGAAAAAAAAAACAACAAACTTTTTGTACATTATGATAACCACAGCTTTGTGGTTCTGATTCATTTTAACTGGAAAATGCAGCAAAGTTCAAAATGGTTATAAAAATTTTATGTCCTGAACAAGTCGGATATTTTCATTGGTCTTGTCCTTTTAAACAATACAAGTTTTACATACATTCTGTGGTTTTTATTACGCAGAATTACAATGATGTTTGTGATTAAATCATACAATAGAATTATTCAAATATTTCATTGTATATTTTTAAATAAATGGGATTGGGTTTATTACTTCAATAGAACAGCAATATTGCATAACCAAAACATGTGAAATGTATATTTCTATGACTAGAAAGTAACAACAAACGTGTGGATTTATTTGATGATGTTCTTACTATAATTAATGGTGGAAGAACGATGAAATTTCCATGTGTATTAATGTAGGAAACGACATGAGTAAAACCATAAACCTCCTGCAGGCAAGGTAATTTTGAATATCCCTGAAGACTGAAGAAAAAAATCACCAAAATTTTAAACAAGAAATAACTCACCAACTCCTCTTTCAGCCTGTATCATACACAGTGAAACTAAACAACTAATTAAAATCCAGCATAGAGACATTTTACCAGTTGTAAGCAGCCATGGTTTCATTCTTAGTTTCTACCTGAAGTTCAAAAAAGATGATCTTAAAATTAACGTATTTAAAAAAATAGATAAATAAATAAACACAACGGAAATCAAACTTTTATGAAATAGAATGTCATTATCTCAAATCTTGTATAGAAATAAGTTACATTTTTTTTTATTTTATGAAACAACTTGTGTGATAAATATCTAGCTATAAACAATAAACCATTTGTTTGTAAAGAAACCATTATATTTCATTTTTTCAATGTTAGATTCCCTGGTTCCTTTCATTTGAGATAATTGTGCTCACAGCAAAATTAGCATTGGCTTGATAAACAGTTACATGTCGTATTTCCCCATCTACCAATGTGGTATAAGCGCTTATAAAAAGAATATGACATCTTTTGAAAAAAAAAACAATTAAAAAAAATCAGAGGCTCTAAAAAAACAAACAAACACTAAACATTAGAAATACAACAGAGGATGGTAAGTCAGATTTGAAAATGGATCTGTTTGTCGACTCTGGCCATCAATGCAGACGAAGATTATGGTCATATGTAAGGCGAGAATTATGTGAATATGATTATGTAATCTGTAAGAGGCATTCTCTGTAATATGAATTGGAAAATATGTCATTTTATAAACAAGGGAGTTTCAATACTAAGAAATGGATTTAACTCATTACAGGACTGGAGCGGGCAAGATTAAAGCAGTTTATTATTCAAGCGCCTTGTCCGGTATATAACGGAATACGGTATTTAGTGTGGTGCTCTCACTCCTAAGAAATATCTTATGGACCCACATCCACATATGTTGTGTATAACATGTATAATTAAAATTACTGCTTAAATTTTCAAATAAAAACTAGTGTGTAAAACAATATTGCAATAAATCAAAGCTGAAATAAAGATATAGGAACAAAAATTATTCTATGACAATTAAATTTACTTCCTCAGTAAAAAATAGTCAAAGATGTTACTTAATTAAGTAACCATAATATAAAATAAATGATCCTATAATATGCAAAGTATGGACAATTGCGTAAATAATATATTTAAAACATATTGGAGAGAAACAATTTAAGATAAAAAGAAACAAACAACTTTCCTTTTAGTAAACCATAAGAAATGGTAAAGATAGAAAGATAAGTTAATTTAACATACCTAATAAAATATTATCCAAAAGTAAAATTTGAATTACAAAAATACGTTATTTTGTGACCGTCAAGATGGAAAATGACTTCAAAGAATTTCTGTCCAGTATATATACATTCAGGTTAAGTCAAGAATATTTTAAGTACTGACGCATTTGTAAAGAGAAAGGAAATAAAACAATTACATATTTAATTGTTAAGTCCGGAAGAGAATGATCTCACTTTACATATTATACGAGGGTTGTTAAAAAAAGTTCCATTAGATTTATTTTATGACATAGCATGACAATATATCCGTTTAATTTGCCAACAAATAGGCAATACTCCTTTACCTATACCTACGTACGAAAAAATTAAACTAGGGATAGAGGAGGTCTAAGAGAAACCACTGGAATGTTGCCAGAAGTCTTTCAGCTAATAAAATGTCTATAAATATAACGCACAATTAGTTGTTTATGACATGACCGTTTATTGATAACTGCTGACAATCCCATATATGCTTTATACGTTTATAAATTGTTTTTTTAGTATCACTGTACATAAAATGTTCATAATAGCATACTGTACTGTTGCTTGAAGAGGCGGTAGCTTTCGGTAGTGTTTGAGTAGGGTTTCTTGGAGATACAAAAATACAAAAGTTTATTATCTTGTTTGAGAAATCTTGATAAATAACGTTCATCTTTTGTATCCGCTTTAAACAACAACAATTATGTTTTCTTTAATGGTAGAAAAGTTTCACTTATTCAATATTTTCCTTACTTGAGAAATGATTATAATTGACTATAGTTTTTAAATAACTTCAATTAATTCAATTTAAAATGTATTAGAAGAGAATTTTTGTTTGTTTAATAAGACAGGTACCAAAAAAGAAGAGGGCGGGGTACGAAAAACCCTCAGATTTTTTGTTTCAAACATAATCGGGGCATCAACTATTCTTAATAATAATTATCTAGGAGCTATTCTTAATATTTGTGCAAAATATAAAGAAAGTTTAACATGTTGATTTTAAATTTGATAAATTTGCTAACAAGAAGAACTCACGCTCGATTACTTTTAATCAGTATATCATGTAGAAGTACTAACCCATGACTTGAACCGGGCTAAATATGACCGGACAATTAACCACTCGATGCTTTTCTGATACAACCAACGAATACACTCGTTAAATTTCAGGGGGAGGGGGGCACTACGCATTTAATTATCTAAACATGCAAATAGACATTAATAATGTAGTACATATGTGTGATTGGTAATAACATATTTGCCATTTATCTTTATAAACTTTGCTTCTTTATGTCAATGATCAAATTATACAGTTTAATGTCGTCTGCTACTAATACGTGTGTTTACAGTAAAACGTCCTAGAATCAAAATGGCGCTGTCCATTAAACAAAATAGCGCGCTCCATGTACATTCTGAATGCTTTGGATTTCTTGGTGAATTTTAATACCGTCACGTATCAGATCATCTTACATAGTTCTTCCTTCTCATGATAAGAAATGTATGTCAAAAGAGAGGTGAGAAACTGTTTAAAACGTAGAAATGAATTATGGCTATCAAGGGAAAAGTTGAAGCCAGGAAGCCACGGTAAAGTGATTAGCATATACGATTTAGAAAGGGTAGTAGATAAATGAAGAACAAGTTAGGGAGAGGCAGAAAGAAGAAATTTTTAAAGGACGTTGGTGACGTCAATCGCTGACACGTTGATACAGTCGTGTAAAGCGGTTTCCAGAGACGATTTAAGTTTCAAAAGTTTTAAAGTTTCAAAAGCGTAGATAAATAGCTAAACCCTAAACTGGTAATCCAAATGCCTTGAGTTTGTTCTTTTTAGAGAAAGGCAAGAAACTATAAACTGTCCCATGTATCAGACAGTGTCAGACATTTAGGTTAGTACGAGGGAAATCTCTGGACAGGGATGTTTCCGTACTTTGCACCACAAAAAAAACACAATCATTAAACTGGCAACAGGTCTCTTAAAATGAAGGAATAGAATATGCTGACATTTTGTCATGCCCGCTTTTTTATTAGAACAATTCGGGCGTCAGATTGATAGTAGAAACTTACCTTATTTGGTTTAAGCATATCTATTCCCGAAGTATATATTGTACATACAAATAAACAACAAACAAATTATTAACATAATGGAAAAGGATGAGAATGAAAAACAAGTCTTATAGAATTCTTCCCCTTTAGCGAACTACATGTATATGGTTTGTCTTAAACAAGTTGATAGATAGGATATACAAGACAAGGGAATAAGTATTAATTATACACACATATAAATATATATTTATATATAAACTTATATAGAGTAGATTTACAATTCTACAAGTAGATGTCTAAAATAAAAGAATATGTTTAAAAGAAGTGGGAAAGAGAAGAAAGAGGAAAAGAGGAAAAGGAGGATAGTCTCATTTAGAATGAATCTAAATAAATGTTTTCGTTTTTTCTATTTAATTGTGTACATGTGTAAATATAATAACTTTGCCTGGTATGTAAAGAAATGGATCACCATAGAGAAGCTTATGAAGGTTTATGCTGAAATCTTCAAGTTAAGGAGGAGTATTCTGCGGACGGTATCGTTTGCACAGCACTCGAACATAAAGGGGTAATAAATGTTTTTCACCAAGGTGGTGATTTAATGCGCTGTTGTTCGTTCGAAGCCGTGTGTGAAGGACCTACATTTTTCGACTACCTGTATAAAAGTATTTTGGTGTATGTTTCCTGTCCTTGTTTAAGAACGTTTTAAATGAGGATAGTGTATGGCTGTTCCATATTATAACAGGCAAGTTGTTCCAATCAAGAATAACTGATGGCATTAAAGAGATGTGGTACAGAATAGTCCTTGATTCAATTTTTCTGATATCTTCAGAGTTTGGTAAGCTGTATCGGGATTGATCTGAATTTGGAATTAATGATGAGAGATAATCTGGAGATTTGTTCGAATGCATATTGTAAAACATTAGTTTGTGTTTTTATCTACTTTTGGTTAACGATTTCAAATTAATTTTCTTTCTGCAGATTTTCTAGTGAGATAAGCTTAATTGCACCAGTCCCAATGCGTGCACATTCATTTTGAATCTTACCAAGCTGTCCGAGTTCATATTGGGTACAATTACACCAAATTACATCACCGTATTCCAAAATAGGTCTAATGAATGCTATATAGATAATTTCCAAATTTTCCAATTTACAATGCAGAGAGAATTTCAATTTACGCATTATATTAACCCTTTCCCAAGTTTTATCAGTTATGTATTCAATATGTTTGTACCTAACTATCTTAAATGTTAAAATTTATACATCATAAAATTGTATTGTAGGACAAGGTCGTCTCAGAAAAGATGGTTTTCAAAGTCTGGAATAAAGATAAGACAAAAAGGAAAGTGATTACAACAGTGCTGTATGAAGAGTTTGTTAAAAAAAGGTATATTTTCTCGTATTTACAAGCCCGTAAGCGTATTAATAAACAATAACTTAAACAAAACATTGTATCATTTTCATTATATCTGTATATCATGTATGTTAAAACAAATATACATATTTGTGAAACAAACTCGAAATTAAGAAAACAAACTAAGAAAACACTTGACAAGGAAACACACGACTGGTCTAAAATTGATAAAAATGATCTTTTCATTTCGATGGTAAATATCTAAATGATTGATTTATAGAGACAAAAGCCCAGTGAACTTACTGACAAGTGGGGGCAGGATGGGACAGGGCTTCCTTGTGCTATGGAAATTACAACTATCTTGTCCATTAAACTTTTTGTATTTATAAAAAGGCTGTGATAATAACATTTATTGCATGGTGCAGTGTCTTATCTTAAATGATTCACAAGTGTTGTATGCAAGTAGCATGCTGTATCTGTAATAAGGCATAAGGTAATATCTCAAATAAAAATACTTCTTTGGAAAAAAAATCGAATAAAAGGCATTTATTTAAGTGCAGTACTTAGCTTCAGGTATACTCGTGATAAATGATCTTGGCTGCATCATCGGATCACTTTGGTGCAAAATGAAATTGCTGTTTTTGAAACGGCCATAAATGTAAATTTAAATCCAAAGGCTGACTATGGCTAATGTCTTCTGAGATAAAAGGACTTTGGTCTTTTTGTTGCATTTAAATTTATTAAATTGTTGGCTGGAAAGAATTTAGTTTAATTTGACTTTCCTTTTGATGATAGCAATTTTACATTTAGGGATGTGAAAATGTACAAAATAATAAAAGAAAGTTTCAGACTTTGCATGAAACAGTTAATCATACCTATTACAATACATAAACCACACAAACTGTCTTGAGTCATTTTTATGCAATATGTGCCACTAGAATTGTCACACTGTTTACCTTGAGATATGCATATGTACAAATTGTGTAGAAAATCATTTTACTGTTTTTTCTTGCTGTTTACAGTTAGACACACATTTTCCATACAGATACAGCAATAACTTTGAAGTATATCACCATGACGCTCTGCAACTTCGAACAAAGATAGATGACCTTTATTTCATCAAGTTTGGAGAGACAATGAACTTGCTAGGTATAGTGAGCAATACTTACTTAGCGTTTCATTATTGATTTTAATCAAAATAAAATAAAATGAGTCGTTATGATTGTTGTTCAATTATATTTTTAAGTAATTGTTTTTTTATCCAAAGATCACTTTTAATTAACAAGCTTTAACCATGATTTTTCAAATTTTATCATAAAACGTTTATAGGAAATTTTCCATTTTCCAGTTATATGCAGTTATATACAAGATAAATTTAGATTATAAAAATAAGTTGTAATTAGTGTAAAGATGAATCATTTGTTTTCCTATTGTAAGAGTAAGAACAAGATATTTCAGTTTCAAATTGATGCAATGCATAGTCTGGACAAAAGGGTCACTTGCTAAAGCAATGAGATGATCTGTTGTATTTGTAAAGTGAACAAACAAAGAAACAAATTTGGTTATTTTTGCTTTCTTATTTCCGGACTTTGTCGCACATTCCTCATGGTAGTAGGAATTTTTATTATGAGATTGAATCATTCAACATGATTCGTGTGGGATCAATATCTTTATAGCAAACCAGAGCCAGTAATCTTATTTATATAAGAAATAAAATACACACTTACACATACAG